CCTCCTCTTCCTCCTCCTCCTCTTCTTCTCTTCCTCCTCTTCTTCCTTCTCCTCCTCCTCTTCCTCCTCCTCCTTCTTCTCCTCCTCCTCCTCCTTCTTTCCCTTCTCCTTTTTCTCCTCCTCCTCCTTCCTCTCCTCCTTCTCCCCCCCTCCTCCTCCAACCTGCTGATGGTTTTTGATCCCTTTGAAGAAAAAGTATTTTCTTTCTCCTCTAGTCTACGAGGAGCATCTCCTTGGAGTGCCATCCCTGACAGCGCGGTGGGGCCTGCCTTCTTCCGAGGGACACTCCAAGTACAGTATGTGCCCCAGGACACTTTCCTGAAGCTCGAGGTACGTCGCTGATAGGTTCACCTGAGCCGTAAGAAGAGGTGTCCAGGTGTAGGATAAATGTAGATCAGCCCAATTGGGTTTGGATTTCTTTGAGCCTGCTTCCTAGATGAAATTGCCTCAATTGTGCCTCCGTTCGTGGTGGCCCATCGGCATTTTGTGGTGGTAAGGCACTGGAAGAGAAAGGGGGAACAATTGGACGAGGAATTATATATTTTCAGTGAGTATTCTTTCCACGCAGTTGAGATTGACCTGCTGTTTTGTTAGGTACAATGTGTTGACGACGATGGTCTAAGGTGAGCTTTTGCTCAGAATACTTAAGTTGTAATGATGAATATGCATTTGTCTTCTTTTTTTTTTTCTTTTCTATTCTTAGTTTTTGCAGCAGGAACTACAAAAATATGTGTAGCGCTTCCAGCACCACTGCAGTAGTTTCTTAAACACGGCATATTGGGCGTGAGTCTCAGAGGATTTCATTATTGTGGTGTCACCTGTAAAGGCACTAGGTCCATCCCAGAATGCTAATATATCAATCCATTTATAGTGCAATCCTTTTTTGTGTGTGTTTCTAGGGCTGGGAAAAGGGAGTTGTGTTTGTCAATGGCCAGAACCTTGGTCGCTACTGGAAAATCGGTCCTCAGGAAACACTCTACCTCCCGGGAACCTGGCTCCAGCAAGGGTACAACGAAGTGAGTTGCTTGATTTGAATCTTATTCTCTTTCTTTTCAAATCTGTCAATATACTCAGGACCAGTTTGGTCTAGTGGTGAAGACACCAGGTTAGAATCCAGGAGACGGTGAGTTCTAATCCCATCTTAAGTCATGAAAGCCGGCTGGGTGACTTTGAGCCAATCACCAGGAGACTGGGAGTTCTAGTCCC